TTTAACTGTTGGCCATATTGCCCCACGGGTTTATGCCATTTCACCACGATGGGGATCCAACTTTGCTTTCAACTGCAGCAGGCTTATACTCGAGGACCTATGACAAATTAATCAAATATATTTCTTGGGCACCAATAAAAAACTGTGTTAAAGATGAAAAAAAAAAAAAAAAAAAAAAAAAAAAGTTAATTTAAAAAAATGATATTTATTTAATGAGGTTCAAGAGCAGTATCAAGATGTCCGGTAATATTTTAGTACATAAAATTAATATAAATTGCATTTCTCTTAGTTTTGAACAAAATTGGTGTTTTTTTTTGTATTTTTAAAAATTGCAAATTCTGTTAAACCTCTTCTAGTGGACGCTTAGTCTCCTCTGTATAGTGGTTTTGTTCATAGTCTCTTGCTCTATTGTAAAGCAGCACACCTATAACAACTACTACTGTGCCCAATCCGCTTAACAAGGTGACTGGATTGTTGAAAACTATTACTGACAGCCATATAAGAAGCGCCCTTTTTGCTGTATTTGCAACACTAAGTAAAGAAATGGGGAAAAGAAGTTTTATAAAAATTATCATTACAGTACAATAATTACAACAACATAATTACAACTACCATTATCACTATCATCAAAATCATCAGTGTCACCATCATCATTATCATTATTCATAGAATCTACCATTGATCATTGCGAGCATTGTCATTGCTGTAACAGCCATCAGTCATTCCTGCCACAATAATTGCAATCATTCTCTGCACCATCATAAACATCAATGTCACTGTCAATTATAAATAAGGTTTTGGTTTAATATGTTCAACATACCTGTGTGTAACCGGTGATATTCTACCCATGAGGGCATATGCCGTTATACTTTGTAAATGGAATACAAATCCATCCATTATCAATGCTACTATTAGAGTTGGATTGGGTCTACCATTCCTAAATGGGATTCCCTGTGAAAAAACATAAATTATCAGTGAGATAAACGTTTGGAGTGAATGTATAACAGGTATTGCTATAATATGGCTAAAACATTTCACCACATTGATGACTATTTAATACTCCTTGTATGATTAATGAATATTCATCAATGAGGTCAACTTTTACATTATCAATATTAAGAGTAATGAATATTCATCAATGAGGTCAATTTTTACATTATGAATATTAGGACCAATGAATATTCAACAACGAGGTCAACTTTTACACTATCAATATCAAGACTAATGAGTATTCATCAATGAGGTCAACATTTACACTATCAATATCAAGACTAATGAATAATCATTAAGTATTCAATGAAGAGTATGTTGCTGGTCTATGACAAAAGTGTGTATCTAAAGTTTGGTTAATGTCGTAATAATTATGTAATATTAAATATTTTCCCAGAAAAAATATCAATAGTTTCTATAGACACATTTCAATGTCTACATTGGCCTGGCTGAAACACTGAGGGCGCACTATACTGGTTGGCAAAAGATTTGTCAAGTATAGGAAAAATGTATGGAAAATCAGGTTACTGGAACAGTGCAGTGTGCCGCCAGATTTTCAGTCAGGCCAATGTAAAAATTGAAAGAGGTCTGATTAGGACAGAAATCTGTTCACACGATCAAATTTTATGTGACAAATAAATGTGACATGAACGTACTTGGCTGTAATGACATCATCATGCCCATATATGGGCTAATCATGCCCATATATGGGCTAATCATGCCCATATATGGGCTCATCATGCCCGTATATAGGCATATCACATTAAATTTGTCACATAAAATTTGATAGCCTGAACAGAGCTTTATGCACTAAAGATGTATTGTCTGAACAAAAAAAAAAAAAAAAAAAAAAAAAAAAAACCTTGATGAATTGATCACAACCCTGAATTGTTCAATTAAAATGATCGAATACATTATTTAACCACCAACTAGAAACAGATCGGAAAATATTTTTCACCAGTACACAGATATTTTAGTATAAAATATATAAAAAAAGGTATTATTTAATAGTCTGTTAATTGATGGGAGAATATTTTCATAATTCAGATTCATAATTTTAAGTTAATCTTACTTATTAGGCAACACAAATATGGAATTGAAACTTATGACAGACAGCACATCTTTAAAATATCTATGCATCTTAATTAGACATACAGTAGGTACTAAACAAAATGAGGAACAGCATTAGGATAAATTAATTTTTTGTTTTTTATTTTCCTTTAACAAATAATGTAATGATGTGATATGTTCCAAAGATTAATTGAAATTTTCATTTTTTTAGCTTATGACAGACAGCACACCATTAAAATATCTATGCACCTTAATTAGACATACAGTAGATACAAGAGTAAACCAAGTCTATTATTCATTAGCTAAAACACATAATTTACAAAATGCCGAACAGAATTAGGACAAATTTAAATGTTCCCAAGATTATATGAAACACATTATTTACAATTAATTAACTGTGTATATTAGTTATCCTTTAAACCTTAATAGGAAACTAAATTTGAATTATCAGTATTTTAGCAAAATTATTTGAGAAAAACAATTTACGTTGGCCTATAGACACAGGTTGCAAACATGTACAGTTGCAATTTGCAACCAGTCTAGACATAGTGCGTATCAATGTTAAATAACTTGTTTTGAAATGTAACAAAATTGAAAATTGTAGTTTACTGTGATTTAACATTTATGTCAGATGAGAGAAGAAGAAAGGCACAGAAGAAAGAACATAATACAGACAAAATATAAAACTTGCCTTTAGACCTGATATTATAATTATTGACTTTCTTCAAATGTCTAATTTGGACTTTGTCCCTGTCTAAAATGAATATGGCACAAATGTAAACATACAGTTACCATAATCATATTTACAGAGCCTAACTTTTAACATTATATCATACCAGACTTAATAAATATGTATACAGTACATGATGTTATGTTGATATTTTCCCCATTTTCAATGTTAAAACAACATTTTTTAATGATTTGGAGATGGTCTCTGACTGAGAAATGGCCAAAATCGTAAACTTTGAAGGCTGATTTCTCAAATATTTTAAACAGCTGTATGTTCAAACTCCTGTAACTTCAGAACAAAATGTCGGATTTAAATTAATCTTTTACCATTTTATAATTTTCATTTTACTGCTTAACCCTGTATTAATAACAAAAAAAATCTTTTTTTTTTGCTGGGCGTCATTGGTTTGGCTTGTCTTTGCCACAAATGTGAACTTACTAGAAAAAAATACCAGGATGGTATAAGGAGACAAACTGCTGCAGCACTGGTGTAGAACTGCAGTTCAGGAGGACTGTAAAAAAGAAACATTGGATTAGACTACTGCCCTCTATAGTTTCATTACTTGCTGCTAAAATGATTTAATGCTTTTCATA